GCACTGAAGAACATAATTTCGTGGAATTGTAAGTTTGAACAAATCGATGGTCTACAAAGTATCGAGCACGAGGAAGCGAAAAAGTACTTAACCATGTACGTAGATAATCCCAGAAAGATCGACCACTATTTATTCATCGTTGATTTTATCAAGGATGGAAACAGTAAGCGTTTGGGAAAACTGGCCTGGAAGATCGAAGGTTTACCCACAGAGTATGGTAAAGCGCTACGAGAATTAAAGAAATTGCTCCCAAATCCAGACGACGAAAGCGAGGATACAAATCTGGATAAAACAATAGCAAAGTTGCATATACCTGACTTCCTACTGAGGCTGTGGAAGGATGGCATCGAAATCGTGGAGAAATATTTTGAATGACCCTCTAACATAATAACTTGATTTGAAACTATTTTTATTATTTATCTAAAAATAAGCACAACTTCTTAATTATAAAAGGAAAACACTCATTAATAATATAAAATATATAAGTATGGAAAACAAATATTGAACTGATATCGATTTGAAGCATTAATTTAGTATATTAATTCTGTGATTCGGTCCCGAGACATTATTCGTTCTATTTATACAAATTATCCGATTCAAATGCAAGTTGTAACATCTGAAATCAACTTGTTGTTATATAAACAATAATCATATACAATAATGTCAGTTTAATTTACAGTCGTTAAAAATACAGAAATAGACCAATAGACACACATGCGTTGAAATCATATGTTTATAGCTATAACTTGCATAATTATTGTCAACAAATATTAACAATTCTAGGTTTGATTTCTTCTTTTCATCACTATTTTCACTTGAATGTGAGTCACCGTACGTTTCTTCATCACAGCTCGCTTTGCTCCCATGCGAATGTTCACTTTCTGAAGTTTCTGACTATCCTTTGTATGAATTTGTACGAAGACATTGTTGAAATAGTAGTGAAATACAATAAAAACATTCGGCGTGTTGAGTGAATGACGTAACATTCCCCTACCTCGTCCGCAGGCCTTTCAAAAAAAAAATTGGTGGGAAACGAACGGAAAGGCCTCCGGACTAATTTTCCAAAATGGCGGGAGCCACTCAACGATGGCTCTGGGTACGAGATTGGGCGGGAGCCACAAACCAAATTATATTTAATATATCATTTTACCAGAACAACATTATTATTAAAGTCTTTAACTATTTCTGATATAGACCGCTTTTCGTATCCGCAATATTCATAAAAACAGTGAACACTGAACAAACAAGCATACAATGATTTATACGGAGAAGCAGATAAAAAAAAATCGAGAAACATGGCTGATCAAATTTATATGAATCAATGAAACAATTTCAATTTCAGCATTTCAACTCAACTTTAATTTCGGGTAATGCCCTAGTATAAGTAAACTTTTCGTGTTTCTTGGGAAGCGAAATAAGCATAAAAATTTTTAAAACGTTCCAAAGCATATTTGACGTCCTTTGAGAGTTTGTATTATACAGTATAAGTTGGTCCTCGTTCGCCTTTCGAATGCATATTCGATTAACAAAAGATCAAAGAGTTTGGCTTTTATGTTTTCCCGTGCAAGACATTGTACGTGCAAGGGGAACGCACAGTTTCTATGATAAATGAATAAATGTTTATCCAACAATTATGTTTTTCATTCGTTTTTCTTTTGGCCATAATAAAACTATATAATCAAATTTAACCAAATATTTGATTGGCACTTTTATGCAAATTTTTAACATTCTCAAATATGCGTATTCGATTTAAAACATCGATAGCTCAGTAAATATTGCACGGATGTTCAAATGTTATATATCAAAATCTAAGTTAGCCCCATCTGAATGCAATAAAACTTATTTGAGTGCAATAAACGCGATCCAAAGAATTTTGAACAATTCCAAACTTCGAATTTTGACTCAAATTTGCAATATTTTGCAGAAATTTCTCATTTTTCTGCCAAAATACGGTTAATTGCCAAGTAAACGTAATTTTGCCCCAAATTTCAAAGAAAAAGGCGATTTCTTGCGAACTTGTGTCGAAATTGTATTGATATATAATCTTGATTTTCGCTGACAGCAATTCTTCTGGCTTACATTTTTATTATTTTTCTATAATTTGAGCTGAGTGTGTTTAGTCTACTTCCAAAATCAATCAAAATCGAAGGAATTGGTAGAAAAAAGCTTATTTTTAATGTTTTTAGCTAATTTTCGCCGAATATTCTGATAAGTGTTCATTTT